ATCAATAATTGCAGCAATCGTTCTAAGGAAAGGTCTACCAGGAATAATAGGACATGTAGGATTGCAATCTATGTCAAGAACGATGAGATCTACAGGCACATAATCCCTATTTGCAAAAATAAGAACATCATTAATTCTTCCCATAGGTTTCTTAATAGTGGAATCGACAAGATGCAAATTTGAGAAACAATCATCAAATTGACGGAAACCTAACACATCACATAAAGTTTTTGGAATCGTGGAAACACTAGCACCCAAATCACACAAAGCATAACATTCTTAATCTTTAATCTTAATTTTAATAGTAGGTTCCCACTCATCATAAAGTTTTCTAGGAATATAAACTTCCAAATTGAGTTTTTCTTTATTAGATTGCATCATAGCATCAACGATGTGTTTAGTAAAAGCTTTGTTTTGATTATAAGCATGAGGACAATTCAACATGGATTGCAACAAGGAAATACAATCTATCAAAGAGCAATTATCATAATTTAAGTCCTTGAAATCCAAAAGAGTGGGTTCATTGCTACTTAAAGTTTTGACCTCTTTAATCCTACTTTTATCAATTTTTGCATCAAGATCTAAAAACTTTGAATCATTGGGACACCTTCTAGCTAAAGGTGACTCATCTCCAGTCCCATATTTATCAAGATTTACATTGGAAAACAAATATTCAATAGGATTCACATCAATCACTTTTAGATCTTCATCATTATTTTCACGAAAACTAGAAGAACACGCTTTTATAAACTAATCTTTCTTAGCACGCATCTTAGCGGTTCTTTCTTTGCACTCATGAATGGAAATTCTTGTGTCTTTGAGAGACTCATTGATATCATGCTTAGGTGGAATAGATTTAAGTTTCAAAGAATCAACATCAAGAGAAATTCTATCCATGTTCCTAGCCAAATCATCAATCTTAAGCAAAATTTCTTCAATCAAAGCATTGAAATTCTTTTGCAAACTAATAAATTCTTTAACACTATTCTCAAATTCAGAGGGCATATTATTATAATTTCCATAAGAATTGTTGTAGGAATTACCATAATTATTAGAGAAATTACTAGGAAACAACCTAGGATTAAAATTACCTCTATACGCGTTATTACCAAAATTGTTCATACCAACAAAATTCACATCCATAGATTCATTATTGTTTTCAATCAAAGTAGACAAAGGCATATCATTAGGACCAATAGGAGCACTCTTACTAGCAAACAATTTCATAAGCTCATCCATCTTCCCACTCAAAACATTTATTTCTTCAATTGCATGCACTTTTTTACTAGTGGAAGATCTTTCGGTATGCCATTGAGAATGGTTAACCATAATATTATCCAAGAGTTCAGTAGCTTCTGCTAAAGTAATTTCCATAAAAGTGCCTCCCGCGGCCGAATCTAAAAGATTTCTAGAAGCAAAATTCAATCCGGCATAAAAGTTTTGCATAATCATCCATAACTTCAAACCATGAGTAGGGCAATTTCTAATCATCAATTTCATCCTAAGGGAGATGATCTAGTTGCTTAAAATTCATAATATCATTCCTAAGGGAGATGATCTTAGCGGGAGGAAAGTACTTGGAAATAAAATCATCTTTACACTTATTCCATGAATCAATACTATTTTTAGGCAAAGATGACAACCAAGTTTTAGCGCGATCCCTAAGCAAGAACGAAAATAACTTGAACTTAACAATATCATTATCCACATCTTTTTTCTTTTGCATATCGCACAAATCAACGAAATTATTAAGATGGGATGCGACATCTTCATTGGGAAGGCCAGAAAATTGATCTTTCATAACAAGATTCAGCAAAGTAGTATTAATCTCACAAGATTCCGCATTAGCATCGGGAGCACTCGGAGTACTAATAAAATCATTGTTGTTGGTATTGGAAAAGTCACACAATTTGGTATTATCTTGAGCCATCGTGACAAAGCACGCAATCCAACACACGAGCACACAAAAAGCAAGCGAAGAAGACGAACGGAAGAGGGGCGAAGAAAAGGCGAATCTTTTCAAAAATTATTTTAAAAGTGGGGGAGAGGAAAACAAGAGGCGAATGGAGAATAATGTAATGCGAGAGATGATAGTTTATGATGGGTACTTGGTATGTCTTGGCTTGGTGTAGATCTCCTCGGCAACGGCGCCAGAAATCTTTCTTGCTACCTCTTGAGCTTGCGTTGGTTTTTCCCTTAAAGAGGAAAGGGTGATGCAGCAAAGTAGCATAAGTATTTCCCTCAGTTTTGAGAACAAAGGTACCAATCCAGTAGGAGACTACGCAACAAGCCACCGAATACTTGCACAAACAAACACCAACTTGCAACCAACGTGACAAAGGGGTTGTCGATCCCTTCATGGTTATTCGCAAAGTGAGATCTGATAGAGATGGATAAATGGTAAAGTAATATTTTTGGTATTTTTGGTTTATGGAACGGAAATTAAAAGATTGCAAAAGAAAGAAAATATGAAACTAGAATTGTAGATCGGAAACTTATATGATGGAAAATAGACCCGGGGGCCATAGGTTTCACTAGAGGCTTCTCTCAAGATAGAAGTTGTTACAGTGGGTGAACAAATTACTACCGAGCAATTGATAGAAAAGCACAAAGTTATAACGGTATCTAAGGCAATGATCATGAATATAGGCATCACGTCCGTGTCAAGTAGACCGAAACGATTCTGCATCTACTACTATTACTCCACACATCGACCGCTATCCAGCATGCATCTAGAGTATTAAGTTCATAAAGAACGGAGTAACGCATTAAGCAAGATGACATGATGTAGAGGAATTAACTCAATCAATATGATGAAAACCCCATCTTTTTATCCTCGATGGAAACAATACAATACGTGTCAGTTCCCCTTTTGTCACTAGGATCGAACATCATAAGATTGAACCCAAAGTTAAGCACTTCTCTCATTGCAAGAAAAACTGATCTAGTTGGCCAAACCAAATCGATAGTTCGAAGAGACTTACAAAGATATCAAATCATGCATATAAGAATTCAGAGGAGATTCAAATAATATTCATAGATAAGCTGATCATAAATCCACAATTCATCGGATCTTGGCAAACACACCGCAAAAGAGTATTACATCGAATAGATCTCCAAGAACATCGAGGAGAACATGGTATTGAGAATCAAAGAGAGAGAAGAAGCCATCTAGCTACTAGCTATGGACCCGTAGGTCTGAAGTAAACTACTCACGCTTCATCGGAGAGGCAATGGTGTTGATGTAGAAACCCTCCATGATCGATTCCCCCTCCGGCAGGATGCCGAAAAAGGCCCCAAGATGGGGTCTACGGGTACAGAAGGTTGCGACGGTGGAAAAGTGGTTTCATGGCTCTCCTGGATGTTTTTGGGGTATAAGAGTATATATAGGCAGAAGAATTAGGTCAGGGGAGCTACGAGAGGCCCACAAGGTCGGGGGTGGGGGGGCCTCCATCCTTGTGGCCGCCTCGAGGCTCCTCTGACTTGCACTCCAACTCTCCTCGGTGTCTTTTGGTCCAAGAAAAATCATCGCGAAAGTTTTATTCCGTTTGGATTCCGTTTGGTATTTCTTTTTTGCGAAACTCTAAAACAAGGAAAAAACAGAAACCGGCACTGGGCTATAGGTTAATAGGTTAGTCCCAAAAATCATATAAAATAGCATATTAATGCATATAAAACATCCAAAACAGATAATATAATAGCATGGAACAATAAAAAATTATAGATACATTGGAGACGGATCAGCTGCCCGCCTCTGCAGGTCGCCATCCCTACCACCCTCAACGAATATCTGAGCAAGAGAAAAGAGGAGTGGCATGGGGTGGCTTAGAAGGAATCTCGCGACGCTCGCCGACGGTCACCAGACGTCGGAGGGAGAGGCGGCTGGGTCACTCGGGATCGAGCTCATGCTCGGGCGCTCGACACACAAGATGTGTGAGGAGAGTCAGGAGAAATGGATGAGGCAGATGGGGGTAGGGAGCGTTCGGGAGACTCCGCCTCGACGCGAACAAGTCGCTGGGATGACATGGCGAGTTCGCGTGCGCCAAGATATGTGCGGGCGGTCCAACGACAACAAGGGTGTTCAGGACGAGATTGCCAAATATAGCATTATTCGGGAGTTATAGATTCCAAAAATATATATTGTAAATTCTACTCTATCTATATATCACATAAAAAAGTGAGCTCACACATGCCACACATATAACCAGACACACACGTTTCCTAGTCACACACACACACACACTATAATGATGAAAACTATAATAACTTGATGAATCTCAATAAATTTTTACTACACACACCAACATATAGATATTATGCGGAAAACCTCACTAAGAAGTGCCTTTTTGAACCAAGAGGCTGGTATTTAATAATAATGTAAAAAGAGATAATGCACTATAGTATCATGGCTTGTTTGAAAAATAATATCATATGTGCTATAGACGTGTTAAGCTAGTAAACTAGACTACAAAACATACAAAGTAATGGTTTCAATGGTATTATCACAATCCATGTAATGCCAAACAATTTATGTCTTATTTTGTGAAAAAAGAACCCAATCTAATTTTCTGATAAATGCACATGTTTTGCCTTTGTTTACATAGTTTTCAAATATTTGATCACTTTTTATTGTTGACATAAAGTAATCATCACATCAAACCGAAAACCTCAATATTAGGCAAAGATCAAATTTTACGGTGCTTCTTATCATGATACCTAAAATGTAACCATTTTCAAGGTGTAACCCTTTTTAGGGTTTATGCATATCTTTTTTTTTACTATTACTAAAGTAGTATATTGAGACAGGCTTTAATATTTTCTCAATACACTCCATGATTTATGAAATTTAAAACATTCTTTATGTTAGTTAGTCAAGTTGACATCTAAAAGAAGAAACGCGATATTTTTTTAGTAAAACGTAAAACCGCTCCTATTGATGCTGAAGCAAACAAACTTTCCTTAAACCCAAGTAGCCAAAGGGAAAGAAAAAACCCCAAGCCATGGCCTCCTCTTCCCTCTTCGCCGCCGGGCGCCGCCTTCTCCACTTGGGGCGCGGCAGGCTTCTCCAAGGCCGAGTCCGTCCCCACAATCCCACTCCTCTGCTCCTCCCTGTGCGCGCCGCATCCTCTCCTCCCTCCAACAGCGCCGAGAGGCCGCCGCGGCGACCCCCGGGCCTGCAGTCCACGCTGTGGCCGCTGGGCCACCCGGACACGCTTCTGGTGCCGGAGATCGAGCGCTGGGCGGAGAAGCCCCGCAACCGCCTCCGCCCCGTGGAGCTCGAGCGCATCGTCAAAGAGCTCCGCAAGCGCCGCCGCCACCGCCAGGCCCTCGAGGTACTACCCTCCCCGTGCCCCATTAGCTGCCCGTCGGCTATTCGATGAAATGCGGCAGTAGCTTCCCATGGTTCTCTTCGCCCCTTTATCTCTTGCGGAGAAATGCGGGAAGTTCCCTGCCACTGACAGATGCGAGTAGGACATTTCTGAGATGGTGACCCGATATGTTTCTCATTGTTACCATGCTGCATAATCACGTGGATACTTGGACTTCTCAATGGGGAAACGGAAGTTCATGTGGAGATTCATATGGAATTGGGTACATCGAATGTATCACGTAGGATTTTGGCAACCCAGTTCTAAGAACCAAAATACCTATGAAAATCTTACAATCCAAAGAGGCGTTGAAAGAACTGCAAGGAAGATTTCCTTTCGACTCATTGCTTAGATGTTATGAGTTATGACTTTGCATGACTAGATGATCCGAGTACGGAACAGTAGCACATGGTGTATAAAGAAGAGGATGTCGTGTTCAATTTATTTTTATCTGCCGTATGTCACAGACTTGAAGTTTAGTGGAATGAGGAGTTTAATCTGGCATGTGTTTTATTTTTAACTCAATGTGGTCTGTAGTTAAAATACTTCTGCGCCAGTTAACCTGCATCTGCATTCATGTTTAGAGTTAACGTCAAACTATGGCAACCAGGGGTTTGCAGCATGTAAGCCATTAAACCCTTGAAGTATTTATAAAATAATAATAAGGCCATGCTTGGAATCGGTGTGTTTTTATACACCTGTATTTGTTTTCCAAGTGTATCTTACCTGCCATGTGCAAATTTCACCTGAGAATCAAAACGACGGATCGTGGTCTGTATATTTTACAGGGGCAAAAGCGCTAGAAACGACAATCCAATCAAGGCCTAATCCCTATAGTTTGTCGCTAGTAATTATGGGGTATTTTGCATACCCTTGAAATGCCTCATCAGTTTCTTTCCAAACCTTTACTTTGCACAGGTCTCCGAATGGATGAGTGCTAAGGGTCATGTCAGATTTTTGCCAAAGGATCATGCTGTTCACCTGGATTTGATCGGTCAAGTTCGTGGAATCGGAGCAGCAGAAGCCTATTTCAATCAACTGCCTGATAAAGATAAGACGGAGAAACCCTACGGTGCACTCCTGAACTGCTACACACGAGAACTCATGGTTGATGAATCCTTGGCTCATTTTCAGAAGATGAAAGAGCTGGGTTTTGTGTTCTGCAGTCTCCCCTACAACAACCTCATGGGCCTCTATACTAACATAGGACAGCATGAGAAGGTCCCTTCAGTGATAGCAGAGATGAAAAGGAGTGGTATCATGCCTGACAACTTCAGCTACAGAATTTGCATAAACTCTTATGGCACACGGGCAGATTTTTTCGGGATGGAGAACACCCTGGAAGATATGGAGTGTGAGCCTCAAATTGTAGTCGATTGGAATACCTATGCCGTTGCGGCGAGCAACTACATTAAGGGCAACCTAAGGGAGAAGGCAATCTCTGCCTTAAAGAAAGCAGAAGCAAAAATTGACATAAAAGATTCAGATACCTACAACCACCTGATGTCCCTCTACGGCCAGCTGGGGGACAAGTCAGAGGTGAAGAGGCTGTGGGCACTCCAAATGTCAAACTGCAAGAGGCATATTAATAAGGACTACACTACAATGCTTGCAATGCTTGTGAGACTTGATGAAATTGAAGAAGCTGAGGCCTTGTTGAAAGAGTGGGAGTCGAGCGAAAACACATTCGACTTCCATGTTCCGAATGTCTTGATCACTGGATACCGACAGAAGGACATGCTGGACAAGGCCGAAGCGCTGCTGGATGACTTCTTGAAGAAGGGAAAGATGCCTCCTTCGAGCAGTTGGGCCATCGTGGCAATCGGCTATGCTGAGAAAGGTGATGCTGCGAAAGCCTATGAGTTGACAAAAAATGCCCTTTGTGTTTACGCTCCGAGGAGCGGCTGGATCCCGAGGCCTGCGATGATTGAGATGATACTCAAGTATCTTGGAGACGAAGGTGATCTCAAGGATGTTGAAACTTTCATTCAACTGCTGCAAGCTGCTATGCCTATGAACTTAGATATGACCGACGTTTTGTCAAGGGCTCGTATGAGAGAAGAAAAGAAGGCTGGAGATGCAGAGAAGGAAGCCCTAAGCTCAACAAAGGCATCAGGATAATTTTACTGCAACTCTCAGGACCAACTTATTTCACCATGTAATTTATCTAGTTAGTTACCGGAATTTATTTGATATTTTACTCGAGTCTGAAACTTGCCATAAACAAATTGCTGCCCAGTTCTCCACAGGTTTGTAGCATAGTGCACCCGCATGAACAGCAATTTCTGATAAAATTGTAAAAAAAATGATTTTTTTTCCTGACGAACATCAACAAGTGTTCTAAAATCCTGCAAAATTTCGCCACAAAAAGGTATCCATAATGGTCTGAGCCGAAAAAACAGAAGTGAGTGCTCCAAATGCGTCTTTTTGAGTCCTGAATTTTGTTTTTGTGGTTTACCGGCGTACACAGATGTCTTTTGTAAGTGAAATTTTACAGGTTATAACATACGTTGATGTTCAACCACATTTAAAAAAGTTTTGTCTATTGTTTTCGGATTTTTACTGTTCGCGCAGGAAAATCCATGTCGCATGTTGGCGAAAATGTAACTGTGCAACAATACATGTTAAGAAGACAATCAAATGGAATTTAAAGGGAGGAGGGTCAGCATGGCGTATCTGCAGCATCTTTCTATTTTGCATCTAACTTAACGTACCATAATGTATGAAAAGTTTCCAACAAAACCAACCATGGCCTGGAGAACAACCATGACATTATATTAGCAGGGGCATACACGAACACTTCATAAACTTTACGAATCATATGTCTTTGAACTGTGAAATGATGGCTAATACTTGTGTTCTCCAGCATCCAGCCTGAACCAAGGCAGCAAAAATGAAGGGGTAATACAAGACTAACAGGCCACTTAAGAGGTCTTATAAGTTATTTCTTCTGCAGCTGTCACATTTCAAGCAAACGTAGCACTACGATATCCAAGTTTAAAAGATGGATCTACGAAATACATTGGCATAACAATGCCATCAATAGAGCAATACGATATAGGACAGATGCTCAGAAACACCATAAGACAACGACAATATAGCGCCAGAATATCCGCTACTCCGAGAGAGTGGACTTCAGCTCTCCACTCTTTTCCAGCTCGAGAACAATGTCACAGCCCCCCATCAGTTCTGATTTGTAGTAGAGTTGGGGGAAGGTGGGCCAGTTCGAGTATGTCTTCAGACCTTGTCTAACTTCCTCATCAGATAGAATGTCAAAGGACCCAAAGCTTACCCCTGCTCCTTTCAAGGCATTCACCACTTTCGAACTAAAGCCGCAACGTGGATTATCTGGGTTGCCCTTCATGAACAGCATCACTGGGGATGAGGAAATTAGGGCCTCGAGTCGGTCCTCTAGGCTCTCTTTCCGAATAATCCCTTTCTCAGTCAGAACCTTCTTCAGTTCCCCACTCTTATGCATCTCCATCACTATGTCCGAACCACCAACCAGTTCACCCTTGATGTACACCTGAGGGTAACTAGGCCAGTTTGATAGAACCTTTAGACCTTGCCTAACCTCATCATCTGAAAGAATGTCAAAACTTGAGAAAGGAATCTTCTCCTGCTTAAGAATATGAACGACCTTCCCACTGAATCCACACTTGGGCTCCTCAGGTGAACCTTTGATAAATATCATCACTGGGTTAGAATTAGTGAGGCTCTCCAAACGAGCTTTCTGAGCTTCCGTAAGCCCAATTGCCTCAGGACTCTGTTCATTTGCAGATTCAGACATCACTGGCTCCTCAATTTTGCTTCCTTGTTGCGTGAGAGGAATGTTGTGCTCCTTTAACACATCCTTCAGTTCACCACTTTCATGCATGGCAATAACAATATCACACCCACCAAGCAGCTCACCTTTGCAGTACAACTGAGGAAAAGTTGGCCAGTTAGAGAACTTCTTCAGTCCTTCACGTACTTCATTATCTGTAAGGATGTCAAAGCTCCCAAATTCAACACCTTCCTGCTTCAAAATGTCAACCACCCTTCGGCTGAAACCACACCTTGGTTCTTCTGGATTTCCCTTCATAAATAAGATGACAGGATGGGAGTTGACAAGCTGCTCCAAACGCTTCTTCAGTGTACTTTCAGCAGCAGAAGATCCATTTTGCCGTGCCATTTCTTGGACCTTTTCGAGTACAGCAGGCCCAGCAGCCACCCCCAAGCTAGCAGGTGCAGCAGGCTGAGCAACATTGGCAGGCCCAGCTAACTTTGCAACCTTATTGGCCAGGCTGGCTGGGTTTGCGCCCTCCAAGGTATCAACAGGTTTGCCTTCCTGAAAAGAGATAAACCATGAACCAATGACAACCTCTTACAAAGAAGGCAATATAGAAAACTTCCAAAGCATTCGATAAAATATACTCCCTCCGTCCGAAAAAGCTTGTCCCTCAAATGGATGTATCTAGCACCAAGTTAGTGCTAGATACATCCATTTGAGACAAGCTTGGGACAAGTTTTTTCAGACGGAGGGAGTAGTGAGCTAAGCAAATATCACCTTTTTCACAGCCTAACCTCACATATGTGCAGGGCAAACACAGCATCCCAAGGCTGTGTGACACATAGGTTGGCATTACAAAGGAATCTCACGATAACAACAAAATGCCAAGTGAAGCCCTGATTAACTAGCCTAGCAAACAAAGACATCGCCGACCTCATGAGGCCCCATCGCAATATCATTAGATTGGTTCTAGTCGTACAGAACATTTCATTGTCCATACAACACTATAATGACATGTACCAAAAGAAACAGACGTCCATGCTAGGATGAACCAATTAACTAGTACAGTCATGCAAAATCTTTAGGGTAGGCAGGAGTGTGTATCTAACTTCATTATCCCACAGTATATGGGGCATGGGCACACATAAGTTATGTCATTGCTTGCAGAATACATCATTCTTAACAATAATATCAACACACGCCTCATCATGAGGGCAGAGCACATGCTTGATTTTTTTCCCTTTAAAACTGGACAAGAGAACTCGTGCAATTCAACTTTAACAAGGAAGAAGGGTACCGTGAGTCCGTGACCCTACCAGGATTTGATATCAAGTACAAACAATGTAAAGAGGTTTATTAGCATGAACAAATCATGTTGCATGACAACTGTAAACAGTAAATACCTTGCATAAAACAAAGTATGGCACTGCTGTAACTCCATATGCCTCTGAAATTTCCGGTTGTTCTTCAGCCTCAACCTGACAGAAGTTACCAACATGACGAGGATAAACAAGAAAAGGATTCAGATATCCAAATTACAAAATGGTGTGTCATTAGCAGACGATAAAGAATGGATCATAATTATATGACTAAAGAACACTACAAAATAGGCAAAGGATAATAGTCACAAAGTTGAAATATTTGTTTAGATCAGTCTTTTACTAGAATCTCGGTCCGATGGCATCACACGGTGAAATTATTAGACAGCGGACCAGTAGCAAAAAATATCTACAGAGGGTTCGAGAAAGGTACCACTTGATCCCATATACTTGTACCTAAATTCAGTCTAATGGAAGAACAAAGGGTTTCAATCGCAAGTTAGTGGTCTTGGTTACCCTTAGCTGTCATTCCACACTCTTATAGCTGAGTCTATCTATAACAAACGGGAAGAGCCAAGGGTTTCAAGCACAAACGGGTTGAATTCAGCTGTTATCTCATGAGCCCATACCTAATGTGGGGAGGGAAACGTTGCAAGCACAAGTGGGGCTGGATTCAAGTTAATCAACCGCATACACATCACATGTTAACTACACACTACAGATAGTGCTTGTCGCATCGCATAATAACTAAATAAACATGAATAATCACAATATAAATAATAATCAAACATGCGAAAAAAGTAACTTGGACAGCAGCATGAATCACGCGCCAGAACCCTAAACGCGAACCGCGAATCTGTACCCAGGGGCCTAGACCGCCGCCGAAGGATCACGATCCACCGGAAACCGGCCCGAACCCAAATCTACCGCGACTACATGAGAGGAATCAGAGTGCAGCAGGCAGCGCGTGCGTACCCTGAGGAAGAGCGCGTGGGGGAAGTCGACGGCGAGGTGCGCGAAGACCTCGTCCATCTGCTTGGAGGCCTCGCACCAGGCCGCCCAGAAGTGCACCGCGGCGGCCCGCGCGCCGCCGACCGCCGCGTCCAGCTCCGCCCTCGACCCCACCTCCCTCACCGCCCCGCCGCCGCTCGCCATCGCCGCCTCCGCTCCCTCACACTTCCCCACCAAAAAACAGCAATCGACGGCGAGAGCGCTTGAGATGGTAGCTACCAGCGGGGGCGATCCGGGGAGAGAGACGACGGACGATGACTCGTGCCGAGGGGTTGCGACCTGGGGTTTTCCTCTCCAGCCCCGTGCGGTGCGACGGCGACGGAAGATTCCAGAAGGGGCCGGAAGCCCGGAACTGACCGACCTAGGCTGTTTGGGCCTGGCCGGAGCGGGCTAACGGCCCAAGAGACAAAAGAATCGGTCTGATGACGCGGACCCACGCGGCCGGCCCGGCAAAAAGCCAGAGGCTGCTGCGGCGGCGGGGTCCAGCCGCCGTCCGGGGGTCCCTCCCCTCCCCTCGCCCCGGCCGACGAGTCTATATAAATCCGAAGCATTTCTCAGCTGCCCTCGGGCGGCCAAAAACGAAACCCTAGTAGTAGTTGCCACAAAACCCTTCTCCTGAATCCCACACGCTGCCTCCACCAATTCAGATCTGGGCCTGATGATGGTCTCCTGACCTTCCGTTCACTCTTTTCAGTTTGATTCTCTTGAGGTTTGTGTGAGTTTGCTCGATGGTTTGGATCGGTGATGCTCTTGTAGAAATACTGCGTTATCTTCCTGATCAACGTGAGGCCGCCGCGATGAGCGGCGGCTTCCTGATGACACCATTATCTCGCTGAGATCCAAGGCGCAGGCAACCTCGCATGCCTTTTGTTTTTGTTTTCCTTTGTCTCTTTGGCCTGTTTTCCTCTGGATGTTACTTTGAAAAGTTAGAAGGGAGATCAGTGTTATGAAGTTCTATCTCTCAACCTCTCTCGCTAGCACTCTTTGAAAAATTGCATAGAAAAGCTGAGAAAAAGGACCGCAATAATTTTAGGTGGCTAGTTTAGTTGTATGTATTTACAGAAATACATCACATTTTCTAGTTAGAAAGCTTTTGCGGCAAAAAAGAGCAGGATTTTGCCGCCTCTTACCAACTAAATTTGCCAAAGAATTCCCCTCTCAGCTAACGTTTGTGAGAAGCCATGTATCTAAAAATTCACGATCAGATAAGAAGCATCACTCTGATCAATTTCCATTGATTCAATCTCCTACGAACAAAATCATTCCTCAAATCAAGCTCAACATCATCAACATTGTACAAGCAGTTTGACAACATGATTACACCAAGCGATGGTTCAGAAATTATGTAGCCATTTTAACCACATCTTAAAACAAAATAAAGATCGTGAGCAGTGCAACATGTATATTGTTTATGGATACTACTATTCAGATAAGCAGCAGCACTAGGATAAGTTTCCGTTGATCCAATTTCCTATGAACAATCACTCCTCAAATCAGCATCAATATTGTACACAACCAGGTTGACAACACGAATACACCAAGCGATAGTGGAGAAATAATGTGGCCATGTCTCAAGCAAAATAAAGATCGTGAGCAGTGGAACATGTATATTGTTTATGGTTACTACAACCCAGTCTAGCAGTTTTGCTGGATTGTACCTGGTTGGCAGACAGGCGTGTCTGCGAACATAAACATCATAGATACAACACGATTACAAGCAAAATAAATGTCAGCATCTCTAGCATACACTGTTCCCAGTATAGTCATGCATGCTTATTTACAGCTGTTCTAGTAGATTTACAAAGGCTCTGGCAGAAAAGTATAGCTCATTTCTGGCGTTAGCGAGGCCTGGTCCATGAGCTTAACCCACGAATTATGCCATATATCCATCAGCTGCAAAGAAAGGAAGTGACTTCAGTGGCATCACCTGCTCCTGCAACAAAGGGAATGTGAATGTGGTTGTGGTGAGTTCAGATCCAAGTAGACTCGTCAGCAAAACAGCAAACAAAGGGAGCTTAAATGTGTACTGATGATACCTCGGCGTTCTCCAGATGTTCCGCAGGGAAATGGAGCCCAGTGGAACAGTTCTCCAGCACCTCAGGGGTCTTCATCCACGCCTTGTGGGCTTCGATAGACTTCAGCTTGTAGCGAAACATCTGCAAAAATAAATCCAGTTTTCAGGACCATCTTATTCACACAAAGCTCAAAGTGTAGACAGTAGCTGATCATGTGCTCCTCCAAACCTCAGACAACGAAATAGTTGGCTTTTCGAGCTCATCTCCCTCGACGTGAATCCCTGTACCCTGACATTCTGGGCAAAGGATGGACATTATTTTGCTCTTTGGAGCTGTTTTCGCCTTTCTTCCTCGTTTGCTCTTTCCCATCTTTGCAATTTGATCAGCCAGCACCTCGTATTGGCACAAAATTGTCCAGTGAAGTAAGCATGAAGTATGGAATAGATGAAAAGCCTGGAAAAAAAACATGTTGTCACAGCATAAGGCTTTGAATTTAAAGATGGAATTATCTAGCTAAATTTGTTTGAAAAGAAAGCAGCATATGTTTGTACTGTACTAAGGAATCTCAGATAACAGTTAAACATAGTTATGTCTCTACTCACAAAAGACTTTTTCAAGACCTAACTTTCTTATTGTATTTTCTTTCTGTTTTTTCCTCTATAAAGAGAAGTAATTAGGGCTCGCTTTGCCTAAATGAAACAGAAAGTGTTTGGAATTACTAACCCCACTGGAGTTTCTACTGCTGCAAGCTAGGTTTCCTGTGCTGCAGTTCAGCAAGGTGGCTACATCTTTTCCAGGAAGCATTGATCGTCCACAAATATCACAAACTTTCTCAGCAGCAAGTCGCTTCTGCTTCCTCAGCTCTCTCCTCATAGACTTGCTGGACAAGGGGCTGACTTGAAGATTGCATGAGGTACCTGTTGGGGAGCCAGTAACAATAGCTTGACTTCTGCTGTCATGGGTATGGCCATTAGACTCTTCTGAAGATGCTTCTTGATCAGAAAACGACTTCTTCCTTCGCTTTCCACGATGTCCAGCCTCATCAATGACAAAGAAAGATCCAGCAGAGATGGGAAGGTCCTGATCTTCAGAAGGCCACTTCCTTCCCAACTCATATGCATAAGAGAAGTTGACTATGGCAAAACCAGATTGTTCATAGATGGTACATGCCTCAGAGCCCTGTGAGGCTTCTTCTCCTACCCAAGCACACCAGATTTTGCTGATCTTCTTACGACCTTCGCTAGTTTCAGCAATCTTGTACGCAATGTTTCCATAACCCAGGAGATGCACAGGCAAATTCAACACAACATCCTTTATCAACACGCTAGGAATAACAAGCGGACCATCGGTTTCGCTGCGGTTTGACAGAGCACTATCTTCAGTTATGGCAGAAGATCTACCATTCGGACGTCCATTTGCACCACTGAATGAGCCTTTTGCACCATTGTGGGAGCTCGAACCATCTCTCAACCTTGATGTCACCTCAGTGCCATTCCCTGCAAAGTCAGGATGGGGAACCAGAGCAAGTTCGCTGGTGTTATGCGAGCTTGAGTCCAGCAAGAGTGGATCATTCTCGCGTGAGTTGTTGAAGAAGAGCACACCATCATTGAACGGCCATGGCATGGGCCCAAACAGGGTGACCTTGGCCTCGGCATACCGCCGTGAGTGCAGATTCCCCTTGAGGTGATCAAACAGCACATTGTCGCTGAAGCACTCGGTGAGGCAGATGGTGCAGAAGAAGATGACGCGCTTCCCGACGCGCCGGAGCTCCACATAGGTGTGCCCATTCTGCCGCACCTCCCGAAGCGTGGCCTTGGCAGCAATCTCACGGATATCCACAGGAGCATTCCTTTGCAGCACCAAATCCTTCCCCACCATGGTGAAATCCCCTCGATTTACCACCACCAGTCCCTTCTATTCCGCCTCTCTGGCTTACAAATCCCTCCAAATCAACCTCCAACACTGATTTTCCCTCTTTGAAACTCTCTCAAGTTTCCACACACAAAAAAAAGTCACCGCACTTGAGATCTTAGTTTCCTCCCGAGCCCTAAGATTGCAAGCTTCTTAACAAAAAGAGACTGTAACTGGTAGTACACGAATAGAACCTAACACGGACGGTCGTATTCGTATCTTTCCAGCCATGGGAATGGAAGCAAGCGTGAGGAATCTGCCCAGCAGCGCGAACTCCTCGCCGGTGGCACCAACCCTAGTCATCAAATCAAACACGGGAGGCAGCAAACCCTAGACTCCTGACGCCCGCCAAATTGGCGCGCCGGGGGGTGGGGTGGGGAAGCGCGGCTGGCGAGAAACCTAGCAGAGGACGACGACGAGTCGAGGCTGCTGTGGCGGGGGAGGAGGAGGAGGCTGATGCAGGCTGCGGACGGTGCTCGGCGAGGCGGCGGAGGAGCGGAGGCGGCAGTCGGACAAGAGCGCCGAGGGCGACGAGGCCATGTAGTGCCAACACGGCGGCGAGGGAGGTCGTCGGCGCGCGGAATTCGCCCTCCCTTTTTTTCGATTGTTTGCTTGGACGGGGAAGTTTGGTCTGGAGGGTGGTGGACAAGGAAGGGGAAGGTGCGCGAGGAGAGGGGAAAAGGAGGCAAGCGCGTGGCGTGTCTGGACTCTGGATTGATGGACGAAGGCGGGGTGAAAGAAAACGGGACGGGCAGGTAGCTGTACCAAAACCCGGCGGGTTCACAAATTCCTCTTCTTCTTTTTTGCGGGAGGGTTCACAAATTCCATATCCTATAAATCCAATTTGTATCCTTTAAATAAATCCAAATCGTATGCTTTATTTCAAAAAAGTTATTTTTAGGAGATTAAATTTCTTCATCTCGTAGATCCTCTACATCTTGATTTTCAAAAAAGAAAAATATTTTACTCCTTTTCAAATGTTTGTATACAAGCTTTTATTTGGGCATATGTTTTCATAACATGTTTAATTCTAAACATGATATAGGATACATACGAAATATAATGCCGAGCTGTTAGAACTTTTGTTATTGATTCAAGGTGCATATTAGTAAGAACATACTCCCTCCGTCCCAAAACAAGTGTCTTGAGCTTAATACAAATTTGTACTAGAGCTAGTACAAAGTTAAAACACTTATTTTGGGACGGAGGGAATAGTAGTTTCTATAACTAAGTGCTTAAAATTGCAATGGCTCCCACAAGAAGAAATGTTCGTGCTGATCCAAGGGAGAATGGATTAAATCATTACAACAACATATGTGTAATGTTCTGGATCAGCAGAGGATTCACTTAGTTTGGGACGGATGGAGTGCAAGCTGAAGCATCTTACATTTTCTTCTCCGGGCTTGCATCTCATTGACTTGAGCTTGCATCTCCTTGATTTGGACTTGCTTTTCGTTGATTTGGACTTAATTCTCGTGTGTATCTATCAGCGCAACATCTAGTTTTTCTCTCAGTGGTCGCTAATAGTAACCTAGCATTTGGTTTACGTAAAGCTTTAAAAGATCGCCCATATCCATCTGCTGCAAGTGAATCCTCTTTGCATGTGTGTAATGTTCTGAGCAACGAGATTCATATACCAAATTGCTAACACAGAGGAATTTGTGTTATACCTTGCTTTCACGGCCCCACAAGCGAAAAAGTCTCGCTTGGGGCGGAGATTCTTAGGTGTGTGTCAGGTTTTTTGAACAATGTGGTATTGCAACTGCAAAGGAGTAAGGAGGGAAGGGGCTCGCTAGATTTGGGGCGGCATCCATGCCAACGGTGTATGATCTGCGAGTGGATCCGATAAAGGTGCTACTGTAGTGCGATGAACCGCCGAGTGGGCATGCCACCACGAGGAGGTCATGTTCAAGCCGATGGCAGTGGTAATAAAGAGGACTATTTCACTCTGTCGGCCTGCATGCACTCGCGGGCGAGGCTCCTACCTCTTCCCCAACCTCATGTGGTTTCATTTTCGGTCACATGGGGCTCGCCGATGACTGATTGATGCATTGCAATAGCAGTGATGACAACAAAGAATTTAGCATAAGCCCTAAGCTGATGTCATCGACAGAGGAGAAGGTGGGGGAGGGTGTGACGCCCCCGATTCTATCGTACACTAATTATACACGCAAACGTGTATGATCAAGATCAGGAACTCACGGGAAGATATCACAACACAACTCTACAAATAAAATAAGTCATACAAGCATCATAATACAAGCCAGGGGCCTCGAGGGCTCGAATACAAGAGCTTGATCATAGACGAGTCAGCGGAAGCAACAATATCTGAGTACAGACATAAGTAAGCAAGTTTGCCTTAAGAAGGCTAGCACAAACTGGGATACAGATCGAAAGAGGCGCAGGCCTCCTGCCTGGGATCCTCCTAAACTACTCCTGGTCGTCGTCAGCGGGCTGCACGTAGTAGTAGGCACCTCTGGTGTAGTAGGAGTCGTCGTCGACGGTGGCGTCTGGCTCCTGGGCTCCAACGTCTAGTCGCAGCAATCGGGTAAAGAAAGGGGGGAAAGAGGGAGCAAAGCAACCATGAGTACTCATCCAAAGTACTCGCAAGCAAGGAGCTACACTACATATGTATGCATTGGTATCAAATGGAATAAGGGTATCATAGGTGGACTGAACTGCAGAATGCCAGAATAAGAGGGGGATAGCTAGTCCTTTCGAAGACTACGCTTCTAGTGACCTCCATCTTGCAGCAGAAGAAGAGAGTAGATAGAAAGTTCACCAAGTAGCATCGTGTAGCATAATCCTAACTGATGATCCTCCCCTCGTCGCCCTGTGAGAGAGCGATCACCGGTTGTATCTGACACTTGGAAGGGTGTGTTTTATTAAGTATCCGGTTCTAGTTTTCATAAGGTCAACGTACAACTCCAAGTCGTCCTGTTACCGAAGATCACGGCTATTTGAATAGATTAACTTCCCTGCAGGGGTGCACCACATAACCCAACACGCTCGATCCCATTTGGCTGGACACACTTTTCTGGGTCATGCCCTGCCTCGGAAGATCAACACGTCGCAGCCCTACCTAGACACAACAAAGAGGTCAGCACGCCGGTCTAAATCCTATGGCGCAGGGGTCTGGGCCCATCGCCCATTGCACACCTGCACGTTGTGAGGGCGTTCGGAAGCAGACATAGCCTAGCAGGCATTCCAGTCCAATCCGATGCGTGCCGCTCAGTCGCTGACGTCACGAAGGCTTTGGCTGATACCACGACATCGAGTGCCCATAATTGTCCCAGCGTAGATGGTTAGTGCGTATAGGCCAGTGGCCAGACTCAGATCAAATACCAAGATCTCGTTAAACGTGTTATCTTGAAATAACCGCGAACGCCGACCAGGGCCAGGCCCACCTCTCTCCTAGGTGGTCTCAACCTGGCCTGTCGCTCTGCCACAAAGATCCACTCAGAGGGCCGTCGGGACAAACGTCCTTTCGGACCCAATCCGTGAATCACTCGCGGGTACTCCTACGAGCCGACCCATCTTTAGTCACCACAAGTATCATATATTATGTATATAAGTATATACCCGTGACCACCTTCCGAGTGATCATGGCCCAGTAGTATAGTGTGGCAGATGGACAAGAATGTAGGGCCACTGATGATAAACTAGCATCCTATACTAAGCATTAGGATTGCAGGTAAAGGTAACAACAGTAGTAGCAAGGACAGGCTATGCATCAGGATAGGATTAACGGAAAGCAGTAACATGCTACACTACTCTAACGCAAGCAATATAGAGGAGAGTAGGCGATATCTGGTGATCAAGGGGGGGCTTGCCTGGTTGCTTTGGCAAGAGAGAGGGGTCATCAACACCGTAGTCCTACTGGGTAGCAGCGGCGTCGGTCTCTGTGTCTAGCAAGAGAAGAGGGGTAAGAAACAATAAATATAATGCAAACAAATGCATGATGATGCATGACATGACAAAGCGCGATGCTAGGTGTGCCCTAACATGGTACGAGGTGGTACCGGTGAAGGGGGAAAACATCCGGGAAATTATCCCGGTGTTTCGTGTTTTCGGATAGATGAACCGGAGGGGGAAATTTGTGTGTTTGCTATGCTAGGGATGCGTGGCGGACGAACGGGCTGCGTATACGGATTCGTATCGTCATTCTGAGCAACTTTCATGTACAAAGTTTTTCCATCCGAGCTACGGTTTATTTTATATTAATTTTAAAAGATTGAAATCATTTTTAGGATTTATTTAATTAATTAAATCAACATTATCCAGAATAGTGTTTGCTTACGTCAGCATGACATCAGTAGTTGACCTGGTCAACCTAACAGGTGGGTCCCACCTTTCAGTGACACATTTAATTATCCAGTTTAATTAACCTAATCAGGATTAATTAGGGGGGTGGGCCCCACTGTCATTGACTAGATAATTAACTAACATCAGTTAGCTTAATTAGCCATTTGGTTAATCTTAATCATGATTAATTACTTTAATTAATTGTTTAGTTTAATTAATCAAGATTAATTAAGTTAATTAGTTATTTAATTATTATTTTATTTATTATTCATTTTTTAAAGCCTCTTTTTTTAACGTTCTGGGGCATGGGGCCCCACTGTCATAG